GATTGGTTTTCTTTGGTGGGTCTAGGATGACGATGCTAGAGTGCGACAAGCCTTCCAGACCTTGCTGATATATGTTGGAAATGTTGCAAGGAATCCTAATGAAGAAAAATTCAGGAAGATCAGACTCAGTAATCCGTTATTCTTGGTAAGCTGTGCTTTGACTTATCTCTTCTGTTTTCCGACTTAGTGTGTGCGCATGCATGTTTGTGTTCTTTCTGTTGGGGATGGTTAGAAAAGAAAGGCTTAGAATAAACACAGTTAACAATGGTTATATATTGTCTAAATTCGTGTTTATTGAAATTTATTGAGCAGGATAGAGTTGGGAGTTTGATTGGAGGAATTGAGTTCCTTGAGCTCTGTGGGTTTGAGACAACTGAAGGGGGAGAGTTTTTGTATCTTCCTCACAATAAGGTTGACATGGCAACATTAAACTCAGCTGCTTCTGAGCTGAAGTCTGCATTGACAAACCCGTTCTTTGGCCTTCTGTAGGGGGCAAGAGAGACTTGTGATACAAGGTTCAATGAATTGGGTCTTAAACTTGGAAGGAAAAGTGGCTAAAGTATGCAGCGTTGATGAATTATTGATTAATCTCTAGGAATGTCATGTTAGAAATCTTATACTGAGTCTTTTGCCTTGTTGTAAGAACTATAATTTATGGAAATTTCTCATAGTCATCCTACCGTCCTCTGTATTTATGTACTAATTAACATTCTATTTGTTCAAGAAATATTAAGCTGAGGAATGAAACAGTTGATCTAATACAGCCTTATCATGTGCTGAATTAGTATAAATATAGAAACAAATGAATTCATCTTATCATGTATACTACTCGCCCAGCATCAACCTGCAGAACAACTCCATTTGATCATCAGGAAGTTCCAGGCAAATGCTGAGGCCTCCCTTTCCTTCCGGTCCTGGCAGCAGCATGACAAGGCCCGGCTTGAGTAGAACCGACGTGGTGCACTTAACTTGTCCCCATGAGAATTCACCATGCTCTATCCCCAATTTCCACCATGACACCAGTGAGAAGCTATCTTCTTCACAAGGTACCCCTTTATTCACCTCTAACCAATCTATCCCTGACCTCACATACTCATCATCCAATCTCTCTACCCCTTCTTGCACCTTCCTCACGAGGGAAGAGTCATCTTCCTCCTTAAGCTCCTTCACAGTTGCATGTGCAAAGGCAGGAACCAATGCATTTCCAGCGAATCCAGGCGGGGCTGGAGGCACAACTCGTTTGCGAACATTGACTGGAATCAAAATAGTCGAAATTTTTTCATCTGGCATATCAACCGCAATGCTTCTTGCCTTCCAAGTCATTGCTGCAACAACTTGAAAACTAGTGCAGCTCTTCAACTTCCCATCTTTAAGGGCTGCCTTCTTCAAGCTGGCAATACGATCTTTGGACAAATAGATAAGGCGCGTTGGGTTAAGAGTTGTGGATAGTTTCATGTTGGTGCCACTCATACCACGGACGGTGAATATGCCAGTTCTATCAGTGGCTTTTGAGTACTCAAAATGTGGGAAACTGATGTTTGGAGGGTTTCGAGCTTTGAACATTGTTCGATCTGCATTTGGTCGAATGACTAAGTTACCACCGCGAGTTAGAGCTGCCAAATTTGCCTCAAACTCCCGGACTGCAACCCCGTCAACTGCGCAATGATTGAACCTGGAGGCAAACACTAGGCTTCCACATCCAAGCTGAGTGAACTGACACAACAAACATACATTACTGTGACCAATTTGGGACTTTTGTTCATTTTTCACAGCCAAAGATTGATCAGAAGGACTTATTTGAATAGTGAAATGACGATAACAGCAGACCTGAAACGACACAAGGGGCTTATCTTTGAGATCCATTTCCTCATCCTCTTGTGGCAAGAAAGCAACAAACTGCCTGAACTCTTTCTTGGGTACCAAAAGCTCACCAAGTTCATCCAGCTTGGTATCTGTCCTAGCTGCAGCAACAACAACACCTGCACCGTTGCATTCTATTTCAAAGCGATTGCTGTCTTCCAAACTTGGCACAAGCCTCCCGGCTAAGAAATCAAATTCAGCTAGCAAGGGACCGAGTGTGCGAAACAAGCTATGATAAGCCTCGGAGAAGCTCATCCCATTGCTTGGAGGATCAAAAAAGATAACCGTCTCTTGGTACACAACAAGGGCCAGGTCTATGTTGGATAAGAAAAGTCTCCGGGGCTGTTTCGGTTTTTCTGGTGCAATTACAACCTTCTCAACTAATTTCACATTCTCCATTGTCGATGGTTTATATCTGGTGTGAGGTTTCTGAATTGATCAAAAGGGGGGTGTTTTTAAAGCATGAAACGAAGCACAATGTGGCTTTCTGCTACTAAGAAAGCAGTTTCATGTAATAAATAAACTTCAATTGTGTTAAAAGGAAAAGGCCAGTTGGGGGGTTACCAAAACTGTACATCAGTTGAGTTCAGGATTATGCAACTCCAATTGTCCATGCGATGTGTAGTTACTTTGACATGTTATGTTGTATGTGTCTATGAAATCAATTTAGAGCTCAAATTAACATTGCATTGCATCTGTGTGATTAATCTATCTACTTGTTGTAACTTCCATTAACAAGCATATTGTAGTCTTCATTTTCCCTTTCAAGATTGAAAAGAAAAAAAACAAGTGGAGAAATTAAATTGTAAATGTTTAAGTAAACAGATATTATAATTGGACAGTTAATTTGAAGAGCAACTTTACATATATCAACCAAATCGACCACCCGTTGACTAGGCTAGATCCCGTTGACAGTTACCAGTTGATTTTCAAGCCATTTAACATTAAATCAATGATATGAAAACAAGATATTTTTGTCTTCTGATGGTAACAAAAATTATGCATGTCAGATAAAAAACGGTGCGTTTTGGTGACAAAAGATTCTGAAAGTAATTTAAGAAAATAAAAAGAGAACAAAATTGTAAAAGGCGGTATTCGTTGACACGGTGCGTTTAGGAGCACCAATTCACCAATAAGCAAATTCCAATCGTGCGCCGAAACGGAGGCCCGAAATGAAATCCTCTCCGAAAAATTAAAAGATCCCGAAACCCGAAACGCCAAGTGACGGCATCTCTCGAATTCTCAATTGTTTAGAGCAGAAGCGCCTTTTCTGTCTTCAATCAATTATCTTTCATTCCTCTCTCTCTCTCTCTCTCTCTCTCTGGAATTCAATTCCTTCTAGAAACCAAGTGCTTCTTCTTTCACTAATAAACCAGGTTAGGGTTTTCTCTCCGTCTCTATATGTCACTCTAGAATTTCAAATTCCAGACTGTTAGGTTCTTCTTTTCCCAATTCCGACCCTCTAGGGTTCAAGTTAGTGTTCAGGGTTGGGATTAGGGTTCTAGTAATTAGCGATAAGGAAGATGTATGCTGATCGAGAGGAAGCTGATACCAAGAGGTCGATAAAGGACCGTCTTAATGGCAGCTTCAGGGATAACTCTGGTCGCCGTAGACAAATAGCAGGAAAAAGGTCCGATTTCTTTTCACTCTCCTTTTCATTTTGAAGAACAAATTGACGGTAATAATTCTTGTGGAGGTTTTTGGATTTTTCTTCATATGGACCCGAGTTTATACTTGTTCTAGGTTTGAATTCTGTGTTTGAGTGTGATTTTTGTTGCTGTTTTTACATGGATTATATAAAGGCATTTAGGAGGTACGCGTAGATAGTCAAAGTAGGTGACAGAACCAGGAATTTAGCCCTGCGGGAGCAAATTTAATAGATAATAATAATGGTAATATCAGTATGCATGCAGAAGTTTGGATGTTGATCAACAATACTTTCATTAAAGTTCAACAAAATTAGCAATGCCATCAAAAGACATCTTTTGTATGTATACATAATACAATTGAATTGGTGTTCAGCTCCATTGATACCGTTTTGATGAGATGGGGATTCTTTACAAAATGGAATATCGAAGCATACTTAGATACCGTTTAACTCCTCATTTTTACCATTTTTCCTATTTTACCACTTGACTCTTCATCTTTCTTATTACAATTTCAAAGTTTTTATTTTTTTGTGCATTGCCAGTACTTGAAATCTACGAACTTTTAGTTATTAGTGTCATAGATTTCTTTGATAAGATGGAATTGCGTGGCAATTTTATTAACAGAGTGGACTTTTTATTTGTGTGTCTGGTTTTGTAAACCATGGGTGTGTTAATTGGGTAATCTGGCGATAAATCTGGTCCTCGCTGTGGAATTCTGAAGATTTCATGAGATCTCTTGTGGTAATAGTTTCAAACTCGATGAAATCATTGTAGTTGCAAAAATACTGCATTTGGTGTTGCAATTTGGCCTTCACCAGAGGCTTTAAACACATATGGTGTACATACTTTTTGTCTGAAAGTTCAGGGGGATACAATCTGTAGAATAGTTTCATTGTGTTAATACATATATTAATGATTGATTGTTCTAGGGGTATTCAGTAAAAAAAAAAGTTAAATAATTGAGTTGATAGCATATCATTTTGCAGGCAAAGACAAGATGACAAGTGGGAGCATGATCTATATGAGGACAATGATCCTCAAGTTTCAAGTATGGACTATGATACTTTTACATGCAACTAAAAACTGCAGCTATGCTTTTCTCCATTGAGTCATCTTTCTTTGGTTGTTGACTCTGTTAATATCTTGTGAAGATCGCAAAGTTGACGCTCGAGACCTTCGTTTGAAGCTCCAAAGGAAAAGTTTCAAACAATCATCTCAAAGTGGAACAAGATCTCTTTCAGGTGTAAGGGACCTACGGGAAAAGCTATCTGGTACCATGGTTCCACAACCAGTGAACGCCGATCCACCAAAGACAAAAGTGGAAGCTGCCAAACCAGTCAGGAGAAGTACTGCAGTTGGAGCCTCTGCACAAGAGACTAAAAAAGTTACCAACCCAGCTTCTAGAAAGAAGACTTCACAAAAGGCATGAAGTGTTTTATTTCTTTTAATTCCACACTAGCAATCTCCCACGTACTTGGTGTGTTTGAGATTGCACTCTATATCTGATTAAAATATAGTTAGAATGTTTCACCAATCGAGAAGCTGGCTTTATGACATATAACGTTGTATATATCTGTTGACCCTGCTTTCTTTTTAAATTTCTACGTTTTGAGACACAGAGGGGCGGGTTGGGGATTAGTATTTATATGGCAATTATTGAGTCGATGTTACACCATAGTATTCGGAGGTTTCATCAGGACTTGGTTTTTAAGATTGTCTCAATGTAGGATGAAGTAAGCAGTTTTTATACCTTTATTTTACTAAAGGGGTCGGCTGAAGGTTTGGATGTTCCAACAGGCACCAAAATAAATTAAAAGATAAGAATAGAACTTCTTTCCCACACTCGGCATCTCCTTTCAGAAATAGGGGTCATCAATTGATGGTGGTATACGGTTATGGTTGCATTGCAATACCTTTAAGTAACAATAGAAGACAATTCATTTTATTGCTAGGTTGAAGTATTGAATTTTCTAATATCCCATACGCAGACACACACATATTCATTACTGCAGTTGCCTCTTAATTACATGACTCATGCCTCTTTTGGTGCAGGCTGGCGCATCAGTGGATGAATTTTTGACGTCCTTGGATCTTGAAAAATATTCCATCACATTTCAGGCCGAGGAAGTATGCAAGATTATATACTTTTTTGAAATTCTTTTTATCACCTACCTCTGAGAAAATATTTTTTTACCTTTGAGTGTTCAATTCCATGTGTTTTTTTTTTTTTGGTCAAGACAATTCCATGTGTTTATGCAGGTGGATATGACAGCTCTTGTGCACATGACTGATGAGGACCTCAAGGCTCTAGGAATACCAATGGTAAACTAAACAAAACTCCTAGATAAAATTCTTGAAACATGAATTATGAATATCATATGCTAACAATCAATATGCTCGATTGTGGTTTTCGAAACCAAGAAATCCAAAAAAAATTAATTTACTTTGAAGAAATTACTACTCAGCCTATGCTATGCTCTTATGATTTGAAGTATGCTAGTTTAAGTGTTCGTTTTTGGGTGGGTATCAGAAAACGTTGTACAACCTTTGTTTCAACCTGGACGAGTGGCATAGAAGTCTTCTGAAGATAATTTGAATGATTAGGTAATATTTAGCTACTAAAAACCATACCTTCCTCACAATAATCGAATAAAAAGTCCTGCAGTGTTGAACAAATTTTGCTCTCCTAACATCAGTCAGAGGTCTTGGAGGTCTGACTAGAACATAAAATTTCAAACATCAATTAGGGCTGATATCATTTGATGGTGCAGATGGTGTTTGCTCTTTGGACCTGAAACTGATTCTGTCAGCTTACAGTTGTGTAGTTTCAAACAGTTCAACTATTTGTTTTTACTTAAATGTGGCTTATATAATGCTAGATCAGTATTGAAAAGGAACTCTAGGCACACCGTAGTGTATTTCTCAGTGAATTTGTTATTCTCCTTTATTCTGGTGATTGTGTATACTGCAAATAATGGTGAATATACCAGCATTTTGGGTTTTCTGTTGACTTATTGAGTTTTGCTTTCGTAGCTTTGAGCTAACCTTTTTCATCTGCTGGGGTTTTCAGGGCCCAAGGAAGAAGATACTTTTGGCATTGGAATCAAGAGTCTGATGTTTGAGGCTGGAGTTGTTTCATCGCCTTATTTCTTCGTGTTTAGTATGACTCAGTCTAGCAGGCTTTGTTTTGGTTGGTATCAACCTGCGTGTAACTTTATTTTTTACCCCCCTTTTTTTTTCTTTCTAGTATACATTGCTGTAAGTGGCTTCAATGTGCTCATTAATGATATAAACCATGTGAATTTGCTAGCTTTTAGCTGCCGGAAATTTAAGTTTTAAGGATTTGCTGCGTCACTCTCCCTAAATATAACTTGAAGTTGATGTGTTCCATCTACTCATGCCTTTAGTACATGCAATTTGGTAGCGTATATTTCTATTTAGCTCCTCAATTTTAAGGAGCCAAGCTTTGCTCATGCTCCGTTTAACTTTGGTTCCCCATGCCATTTTTTTCCTTATTTTCTTGGCACATAGTCAACAAAAGCCAAGACAAACTAGTTTTTTTGGAAGGATAATAATTGGCATTTAGATATGAGTTTTTTTGGTTCTTAATTTTTTTTTTTAATCCTCAGAGACTGAGTTGTATAACTTTAATATATATATATATTAAAATGCTAAAAGGTTATTGTCTCCTAGTCTTTTATCCTTATTTAATAAAATATTTTATATTTTAACATTTTTATCAACCAAGGT